CAATTACAGCCCCCTAGGTCCGCCAGCCCCAAATCCCAGGGGCCCCCTACCGCCTGTCACGCTGCTGCGGGGTCCACATGGACCTGGGTCCCTGTACCGCCCTCCCATTGCCCCCCACTCCCAGTCCACTTTCAGTCTCTTCACACCCCTGGGGTTTTCAATTTTTTCATAGTTCTGGCAGTTACGGCCCCCCAAAGGGGTCCCCCGCCGGGCCCCCAAACCCGGGGGCCCCCCTACCGCCGGGTCAGGGGCTGCTGCTGGGTCCACATGTGACCTGGGTCCCTGTCCCCCGCCCCCATTGCTCCCACTCTGCCATTCCACTTTGGGGTCTCCTCACACTCCTGGGGTTTTTCCATTTTGTCAAGGTTGCGGGCAATTACGGGCCTCCCAAGGGTGCCGCCGGCCCCAAAATCTGCCAGGGCCCCCGTACCGCCTTGTCACGCTGCTGCTGGGTCCACATGGACCTGGGTCCCCTGTAACCGCCTCCCATTGCTCCCACTCTGCATGTCCATTTCAGGTCTCCACACCCTCCTGCTGTTTTCCCATTTTTGGGTCATAGGTAGCTGGCAGATTACAGGCCTCTCCATAAGGTGCTGCCAAGCCCAAATCTGCAATGGTCCCCGCCGTCACCCGGCCTGGTCACGCTGCTGCTGGGTCTACAGTGTGACATGGGTCCCCCTGTACCGCCTCCCATTGCTCCACTCTGCCATGTGCCACTTTCAGGTCTCCTCACACTCCTGCTGGTTTCCATTTTGTCATAGGTTGCTGTATGGCCTCCTATTTGCTGCTGCCTCCACCGCCACACTGTGGCTCCAAACACTGGTTTTGGCCCCCGTGACTGGCCCAAATGAGTGAAGTGTGCGGTGATTCTAAGATCGACGGCCACTCCATCTGCATGTCATACTGACTGACAGTATTATTTCTCTTCCCCAGCAGACTCCAAGGGCATTTAAATTAAAGGTACAGTGTTCTGCACTAATATTAAGTCTTTCTGAAATCCTAGGAAACACCCTTTTTTAAGTTAAAATTCACAGCGAAATATATCGGACTCGAATCGAATATTTTCCACGAAATTCGCCGAATCAGTCGAATCGAATTTTTGAATACTTCGCTCATCTCTAATAATAATATGAAAACAATAATAAGTAGTAAGTATAGGTCGGTGATATAAACAAAATGAATGAAGTGCTGCGATTGGCGCAATGAAACAAGTGCGGCTGTGAAAGTCTTAAACAAATGTGATAGTGTGATATGATGGTGAGGCTCTGACAAACACCAGTCAGAAAGTCATGCTCCAAACGAATCCTATTGCACAGGTGGTATCAGATTAATTCATGTGATTTTAATCCGTGCAGGAGATTGATAAAAATGCGCACTCACCAGATGCTCATAGTAAAAGCGCAATGTGTTGAACTATATATTGACCAAGGATCTGCAGGAAGCCCCCTTTAGATGGACCAGACAGACAATAAAAGATGAACAATAGAAACCAACGCTCCAATCCTCATGCAAACTGGAAAAATGTCAGGATGCCAAACGAAGAGGTGCTGCCCTTCAAAGATCGGGAAATCTGACCACTGATAAAAAAAGAACAGACAAGGACGCACTCTCATCGTGCATTACCGTGGTATACCACGTATTTATTAAATAGACAAAAAGATGTACTGTATACTCACAAACCAACGATAATAAAAGCAGTGTGGAATAGAGGTGAGAGGGTCTATTCCACCCTCCTTTTGACATTTCTTTGGTATATAGGCTTGGGGCCAGCAGGTTCATTTCCAGCTCTGAGGAAGGGGGTTCAGTTCCCGAAACGCGTTAGCTTATCCGCAATTTAGACACAGCTTTTTTGCGACTGTTTTTGTGGTCCATACACACTGCTTTTATTATCATTGGTTTGTGAGTATACATCTTTTTGTCTATTTAATAAATACGTGGTATACCACGGTAATGCACGATGAGAGTGCACCCTTGTCTGTTCTTTTTCATCAGGGACCAGACAGATAGCATGGGAAGAGACTCCCTCCTCTGGATATGAGGAGACTGTTCTGCAACCATAATCCTACTGGAGTCCTGGTAGGAGTGAAACAGGTCCAATAACCTGGCATGGAGCTGACACCTATGAATGAAAGGTCCCTTTTCTGGTTCTTAAGGTGATAGATACAGATCTCATGCAAAGGGTGTAGTTGCTGGTGTTTCCGTTCTTGTGCTGGGGCCTTACCCTTCTCAGTCACTCGATGATTGGGTGACAGTAAAAATTTAGTGACCCAATCATCGAGTGACTGAGAAAGGGCAAGGCCCCAGCACAAGAATATTGGCTGAAAGTGCACACCCTCAGGTTTAATGAGGGTATGTACATCCAAATCGGAGGAAGGGTTTAGGAATTACAGCTGTTAAGAGTAGCCATCCCCCCTTTTTCAAGGGAGCAAAAGTAACTGGACAATTGAATCAAAAGTTGTTTAATGGCCAGGTGTGGGCTACTCCATTATTTTTTCATCAATTAAGCAGGCAAAAGGTCTGGATTTGATTCTAAGTGTGGTATTTGCATTTGGAATCTATTGCTGTGAACCTACATCATGCGTTCAAAGAAGCTGTCCATGCAAGTGAAACAGGCTATTGTAAGGCTTCAAAAATTAAACAGATCCATCAGAGAAAAAGCAGCAACATTAGGAGTGGCCAAATGAACAGTTTGGTACATTCTGAGGAAAGAAGAATGCACTGGTGAGCTTGGAAACATAAAAAAGGCATGGACGTCCACGAAAGACAACAGTGGTGGATGATTGCAGAATCCTCTCTATTTTAAAGAAAAACCCATTCAAAACATCCATACCAGGGAAGGACACTCTCCAGGAGATGGGTGTATCATTGTCCAAGTCTACAATCAAAACAAGACTTCAGGAGAGCAAGTACAGAGGGTTCGCCATGAGGTGCAAACCATTCATAAGCCTGAAGAATAGAAAAGCCAGATTGGACTTTGTGAAAAAAACATCTAAAAAAGCCAGACCAGTTCTGGAAAAGCATTCTTTGGACGGATGAAACTAAGATTAATCTGTACCAGAATGGTGGGAAGAAAAAAGTGTGGAGAAGGCTTTGAACAGCTCATGATCCAAAGTACACAACGGCATCTGCAAAACATTGTGGAGGCAGTGTGATGGCATGGGCATGCATGTCTTCCAGTGTCACTGGGTCATTGGTGTTTATTGATGATGTGACAGAAGACAGAAGCATGAATTCTGCAGTGTTTACAGATATACTGTCAGCCCAGATTCAGCCAAATACAGCAAAGTTTATAGGACGGCGCTTCACAGTACAGATGGACAATGTTCCAATGCACACTGCAAAAGCAACCCAGGAGCCTTTGAAGGAAAAGATGTGGAATATTCTGCAATGGCCGCATCAATCAACTGGTGTCAACCCAACTGAGCATGCATTTCACTTGCCGAAGTCAAAACTAAAGGCAGAAAGACCCACAAGCAAAGAACAACTGAAGACAGCTGCAGTTAGAGCCTGGCAAAGGATCAGAAAGGAGGAAACCTAGTCTTTGGTAATGTCCATGGGTTCCAGACTTCAGGCAGTCATTGCCAGTAAAGGATTCTCAACAAAATATATAAAAAGAACATTTTAGTTCAAAGGACCTTTCACGCCTCATACTCCACATATGCTAGAGGTCCCTAGCGGCCTGTCTGATCATAGTCCCATGGCGATTACATTTAAAATTGGCTATTGCAGCAATGGTTCCCTATGGCGCCTTGGTGCCCACTGGATTTCACATCCAAAAATCTCTGAAGGTGCTCCCGCGGCATTACAAGAATATTGGGATGTCAACACAGGGTTTTCCTCTCCAGAAATGGTGTGAGACACCTTTAAAGAGGAGTTCCACTCACACTGTCAAAAAATAAAAGTCAGCAGCTACAAAAACTGTAGCTGCTGACTTTTAAAAAAACACTCATTTACCTGTCCCTTGGTCCCTCGGTGTGTCCCCTGCAGCCCGTTTTACTGGTTGTCTTCTCTCCCTGGGCGCCAGCATCTTCAGTGTGGACACCCAGCTGTAACAGCTTGTGACTTCACAGCCGGTACCCACTGTGCATATGCGAGTAGCGTTGCGCTTCCTGAATGGTCCTGTAGTCTAGGACTTGTCACATGTCCCAAAAGACTACGGGGAGGGAGGAAGGGAGGACACCTTCCACTTACGATCGCCTAGGCGATTGGAACGGAAGTGGGAGCGGGTACCTGTCAAATTCAAGTACCAAGTATTCAAGTCTTTAAAGAGGAACATTCCCTTTTGGGTGGAGCTCCGCTTTAAGGCATATTCTCAGGGACATTATATTTCTACCATAAAAGCGGTTAAGACACATCAGACAGCTACCATGACCTCCCTCCATACTCAGGTGTTGACAGATCCACTCAATATGGAGTGGAACCCTCTGACCCAAATTTTGACTTGCTTATGTCTGCCAAGTGCGACCTACATCTACACCTGATGGAGGTTACTAGGTTGGATTTGTACACCTCTAAACAAAAATTTTTTGAACAGGGGGACAAGAATGGTAGGTTAATGGCCATGTTATCCCATCATGATGCCCCCCTTACAGTAGTCTCTGAGCTTGCCTCCTCAACTGGCAAAACAATTGCTGATGCAGAGGCTATTCTCAAGGAATTTCATGATTACTATCAAAACCTCTATAGATACACTTTATCAGCTGCACTTACCTCGGTGAACCTCTCATCTCTGCTGAATCCTATTGCCCTTGATTGGCTTTCAGATACTGAGAGGTCACACCTGGTCTGCCATATTACCTCAGAGCCGGTTCTGGTGGTGATTCAGTTATTTTCCTCTGGTAAGGCACCTGGCTCAGATAGCTTACCCGTAGAATTTTATAAGGAACACATTGAGATGCTGGCTCCCCTCCTGGCTACTCTATACACACACATCTCCATATGGGTGTCCTTCCTTGCTCCATGGCAGACACACATGTAGTTCTTGTATACAAACCTCATAAAGATCCCAAATCCTGTGCCTCTTACAGGGCGATAGCACTCCTTAATAATGACCTGAAAATGCTGACAAAACTTCTAACTAACAGGCTTAATCCCCTCTTACCCTTGATAATTGACTCAGACCAAACTGGGTACATGGCACACAAATCTACTGACATTAACTTGTGTGTACTGTTTACAAACCGTCATGCCCAACATCTTAATCAGGGTTCTAGAGTGATTGCCTCACTGGATATCGAAAAGGCATTTGACACTGTAGAATGGCCATATTTATGGGAGATCCTTAGGAGGATGGGATTCCCTTCGGTTTTCATCAAATGGCTACAGAGAATATACCGCTCCCCAACTTCTGTCATCCATTTGGGAGGTCTCCTCTCTCCTACATTCACTCTGTTCAGGGGTACTAGACAGGGCTGCCCTCTCTCTCCGGCACTCTTTGCTATTGCCATGGAGCCACTGGCTGAGGTGCTCCGAGTATCCCTGTTTATTAAAGGCCTGAGGTTGGTGTGGCTGGAGGAGAGGGTTGCCCTTTATGCAGGTGACCTTTTATTGTTTCTGAATGATGCTGGCCCCTCTCACGTGGCACCTTGCATGTCCTAAATAATTTTTTAGTGTTGATGGGACTCAAGGTGAACTGGGCTAAATCCTTACTTTTTGCCAATGACCCCGTGGTGAGACGAGATGCACCTTCAGATCTACAACTGCAGTGGGTGTATCACATACCTGGTGATGGAGGCCAATGGAGAGAGGGCTTCCCTTGTGGCTAAGTTCTGGACTCCCCTGAGAGTGGGACAGCGGGAGTCAGGCCCAAAGTTGCACAGGTCGCCTGTAGGAGTGCTGGTTGGTGGTCCACTCAGAAGCACAGCTGGTGCACGGAGATAGGTCTGCAGACAGGAGGTGCCTGTGCG